GATAGCCCCTCAGATACTATAGGGCAGAAGCGAAGGGACATTTGGAGACAGACTGGTCATTTTTCTATGACTTCATACATTGTGATTTGCCCAGGAGTTATAAAATGGATTTTGTTAATCTGTATAATCCTTCCTTTTTTCCTTTCTTCTCCCCATCCTCCCTCCTTCCCTCTCTCTTTCCTTCCTTCCTTCTTCTCTCCCTCCCTCTTTTCTTACTTTCTCTTCGTTTCTTGAACTGGCATAATAGCTTTTTAAAGATAAGTTTTATTTCATTTTTAATTGACACAGGATAATTGTACATATTTGTGAGGTAGAGTGTGATATTTCCATTCATGTATATACACTGAAGATCAAAACAAGGTAATTGCTGGGCATGGTAGCACAGGCCTGCAATCCCAGCAGCTTGGGAGGCTGAGGCAGAAGAAGAGCAAATCAAAGCCAGCTTTAGCAATTTACTGAGGCCCTAAGCAACTTAGCGACCTCCAGGCTCTTTTTGTAATCCTGGTCTCAAAATCCTGGCTCAGTGTTTAAACTCCCCTGGGTTAAATCGCTAGTACCAAAAAATACAAAACAAAAAAAAACAAGGTAATTGACATATCCATTATTTCCAACATTTATCATGTCTTTCTGGTAAACCATTCAAAATCTCCTCTTCTGGCTATGTTGAAATCTATATTATTTTCACCATAGTCACCCTATCTTTCAATAGAACACCAGAGTTTATTTTTTTCATCTAAATTTGACTTTATATTCATGAGCAACCATTCTCACCTCTAGCCCTACTCTCCCTGGCTCAGGTAATCATTATTCTATTCTTAACTTCTAAGAGATCAACTTTTTAAGATTTCACCTATGAGTGAGATTATGCTTTATTTGTTTCTCTGTGCCTGGTTTATTTGTCTAAATGACCTCCAGGCTCTTCCTTTGCACTCCTTTGTTTATCTGTTTAAGCCTATAGTAACTAGGTGACAACTCAAATTTAAAGTGCCAAGAAAAAAGCCATCTTTATTTGATCAGTAAAACAACCAGATTAACTTAAGATACAGAATTTAAAAAAAATATTAATTTTATTTTACTTTATTCTTAAATGTTTCTGTGTGTATATACACAAACATTTATGTGTTTTGATTTGTGTGTATATATATGTATTTAGTGTATATACATATATACTATATATAAATGTATATATATACTAATATGTATATATTGTTATATTACTACTAATATATATATATTAGTAGTAGATGGACCTTTATTGTATTTATTTATATATAGTGCTGAGAATCAAACCCAGTGCCTCACACATGCTAGGCAAGCACTCTACCACTGAACTACAATCCCAGCCCCAGGCTAAATGTTTTTTCAATGAACTTTCTTTGAATGCAGACTGGAACCACCACTCAGAAATGACAACAACAACAACAACTTCCTCCTCCTCCTCCTTCTCCTTCTCCTTTATTTTTTTTAAATGAAAGGTACCAAACTTGGTGATAGTATGTTCCCCTTATAAACACACTGTAACGTGTGTAAATCTAAGGATTAGTCCTACCATACTTCACCTAAACTAGTCTACCAAAATCTTAGTTAATAAAAACGTCAGTGCATTTATTTATTTGAATACTTTATTGTAAGCACAATAATGATGTCATTCTCAGAAGCAATGAACTAGCCAAATGAGCAACATGTTGAGAAAGATGTAGAGCTGCCCTAGTTCTCTGGAGGTACAAGCATGCCAAGAACCTTCCTCTGCCCTGTGATTATTACACAAAGTGTGAAAGTGCAGGCAAAGAATCCTTTGAGTAAGAAAGGTCCATCTTTGTAAGATGGAAGGAAGGGCAGTGATGCAGAGCTAGCTGAGTATGGTTCTCACCGAGGTAGAGCTTGTCCTAGGCTCCTTCAGTTTTGAGTCTTTGCCTCTGCAAGTTGCACTTGATTTGTCCTTTGTCACGGGTTTCCAAGACCACCTCTGGGTTCAGTGATTCACCAAGAGACTCACAGAATGCAGCACATGAGTTTTACAACTGTAGGGTACAGACCCTGATCAGCTAGGTGCAAGATCTGGAGAAAACCAGACACTAGCTCCCTAGATTCTTCCCCGAGTGGAGCTGCACAGGAAATGCTCAGATCCTCTAGCAGTGACTTGTGAGGACACACATGAAATGTTGACAATCAGCCTGGGATACCAGGGTTTTTATGAAGAGGCCAGCCATGTAGCAACTCTGTGTAGCAAATATGAAACTCAGCATTCCCAGAAACAAAGCAGCTGCTCAACAAAATCCACATTGTTTATCCTGGTGGTTTAGGTAACAGGCCATCACTCTCATCAGTTCTGGGTTTGGCAAGAGACCTCCCCAAATCCAAGTTCCTAGAATCAGCCAGGAGCTAGCCTGACATGTGGCCTTTCGTGCCAACTCAAGCCGCTGATGTTGTGTTGCTCTGCACAGGGAACATGGGCCTTCTCTTTAGGGCCTGATTTCTTATCTTCTTTTCTTTAATTTTTTCTACCGTGGAGCTTTATGATGAGATGATCTGGTTCAATGCCCCTGTTTCTTCTGCCGGCACACCAGAATAAGGGACCTGTGCTGAAATGGACAGAACATACATTCTGAAGCTCAGGCAGCCCTGCTCTTGAGGAGGGAACACATGTGAACACATGAAATGATTTAGACTCACAAAGGCCCTTTATTACTTAGTTAAGAAATGGTGATTCACTGGCTGGCTTTTGTGGTGCCCCAAAATAAGAAAGGACCTTGAATCCTCGAGAATGGCACACCTAGAGATGAATTTGTATAAAGTAGCTTTGATTCAGCTTGGTCTATAAGGAGGAACAAGGAACCTGCACCAGAGAGAATGACTAAGACTAGAAATGGCCCTGTTAGCCCTGACTTTGCGTCAATGCACAAGTATCTGTTAGGCAAGGACTCTTTAAAATGGTGAGTGTTGCTGGGCGCCATAGCATATGCCTGTCTTCCCAGCAGCTTGGGAGGAGATTCAGGCAGGACGATCACAAGTTCAAACCCAGCCTCAGCAATTTAGTGATACTCTGTCTCAAAATTCAAAAAAAAAAAAAAAAAGGACTGGGAATGTGGCTCAGTGGTTAAGGGCCCCTGGGTTTAATCCCAGTACCAAAAGAAAAGAAAAAAGATTGGTCATTGTTGGTAAGAAGCACATACCATGGTTCTTTTCCTCCTTTCAGTCCAGCACATATGAATAAATTTGAAGAATTTCTGATGCAGATGTTCCCTGACTTTTATAACAGTTCCACTTAGGACTTTCAACTTTATAATGGTTCAAAACCTGTGTGCATTCAGTAGAAACTGTACTTTGAATTTTGAACTTTGATTTTCCCCCCAGAATATTATATCCAGTACTCTTCACAGTGCTGGGCAATGGCAGTGAGATGCAGTTCAGTCATTCGTGCATCTCATGGGGAACAAATAGATACTCACTCGTCAGTATCCTGAATTGATATACTGTTTTTTAGGTTAGGTGCCTTTTTGGGTCGCCATTTTTTCAATGTACAGGGGATTCATTGGGAGTATAGCCCTATTGTAAGTCAAGGAACATCTATCCTGCAGCAAAGCCATTGAATACCTTCCATTTGCTTGAACTGAACTGGTCATGGATAGAATTTAAATCACCTGGGAAATAAGACAGATGTAATCAGTGGTGACAAGTTCATGCCATGCATGGCACCATCAGGATATATGTACCTTGTGAGGTGCTGGGGATATGAGTATAATGTATCAGGGCCATGAGAAGGGCCTCGCTGATCATAGACATTCTCCAAACCCACCCCAGACTGATCCAGGTGGTAAGTAAAATAAATTTCATACATTTAGACTATTTTAATACTAACCTAAATGCAAAATCATGATACTTATGGTCAATGGCATTTCTCAATGAGAAAGTTTTCTAAATTTTGTCAAAATATCCTATTTTACATGTTACTATATTCAATACATAGAAGAAGCTAATGGGAAAATGCTATTGACTGAATTGTTAAAATGCCCTCAAAATTGTATGGACATACAGTTCAATGCTTCGTTTAATTCTGAGCAAACAGTTTCTTCAAGTTGCCCATAAGATGTGCACACACTATTAAACACACATTAAGGAATTTTATTCCATAATGCTAAATACACTTATTTTATTCTTTTGCATAACTTTTCAAATATGGGGAATTAATTCATTATTTTTCAGAAAATGGATTTATGGCCATATATTAAGCTACATGCACTTATATTTGTAACATATCTAGTATTGTTTTCAATACAAATACATTATTTTAAATATACAGTCTTGATGCCACTGGAAATATTTTTTTCTGGCTTTTTCTCTGTTTACAACCTCTTTGCAAGCAAACATTATATTTCCAAATATCTGATAAAATGTTCCTTCTGATTGGGAAGGGAAGTAGTACTGAGAAACCTGAGCTATTCACATTCTGCTGAGTATGGGAAACCTGTCTTCTTTCTTGGTTTAATATTTCCAGCAGGAGGTAAAACTAAGCAGTAAAAGCCTGCAACTTAATATTGAGTTTTAGAAATGTTTTATTTCAACAATATTCTAATGATGCAGTTCTTCAAACAACATGGATGATAAGAACAGATCAATCCAGAGGCTTTTAAGACCCTGTTTTTTATATCCACATTGGCCCTAGATTTTTATTATTCCAGGGCCAGGGAATGTGGCTTCCTGTGTTTCTGTTGCTATACTTGAAGATTAGTATAAGGGATTAGGGGGTGAACTACTTTCTAAAAGCAAGCCTTTGAGAGTAATATGTGTATAGCTGGTTTAATGGTGCTTGTGAAATTTAAACAATCCTGGAAATAAGGGACCTTGGGCAATGGTTATTAATACAAGGACTAGGGAGAGGGGATCACATCTGCTTAAACACAAGCACGTTTTGCATATTAACAAAGTGAACAAGGCATTGATCATTGATGAGGAGACAGCATCTCACAGATATTTTATCCCTTTTTTCTGTTTTCTCCCAGGGCTTTCCAGGAAACACAAACTCAGACAGCGTGGTGCATTACAGACTTCAGCCTCCCTTGGAAGCCAGGTTCTTGCGTTTCCTGCCTTTAGCCTGGAACTCCAAGGGCAGGATTGGCATGCGGATTGAAGTGTATGGATGTGCATACAGTAAGTATTCTTATCCCTGCCTGAAATCAGCATCAGAGTGACATATTGTAAAAGCTACACTGAAACTGGAAGCAACTCTTCATGCCTTACACTGCTGTTGGAGTAGAATTTTTTTTTTTTTTTTTTTTTTAACAAAAAGCTTCCATAAGGAACCTGGCTTCCAAAGGAGGACTTGAATGGAGCTTTATTAACCTTTAGATTTTCAGAGGTTAGCCAGATAATTGCTTCAGAGTCAGCATTTTAAAAAAAGTAATGATGTTCAAATCAACAACAGTTATTTACTGTGACTGATGGTGCTGATTTTGATGCTGAGATGGCCCTTAGTATGGGACACATAGTGACTGCTAGGTGCAATTGTCCTGTTTTCCCCATACTCTAGGATGACTCTGTTTTCCTTCCACTCTTTTGTTTGCTTCCCAGTGGAACCTTCTTTTGAACAGTGCCTGCAACTTAATTTAATTTTAGCTTGGAAATGTCATTTGGGTATTACATTTTCCCTCTTTTCTCAACTGATGATGAAAGTAGTGAAATATGCAGCCAAGGAAAGCACAGACTACAAGCATTCAGTGAAATAGAGGTGTGAGTTAATCATATTGTTGCAATTTTTATGTTTCTTAAATTAACACAAAAGGAAAAAAAAATTAACAAAATATTTTCTAGAAAACTGGGGACTAAGCCAGTGACTTGGTTTTCTGTCAGGTTGGCCTTCCACACCCCATGCCCAACTATTACATATTGGATCTACATTTAAGAACAGATTCACATCTTTTCTTCCAAATTTGATTCTCATCATTGCTATACTATACATGTAGTTGTTTCTTTATCCCCTTATCATATAAAAATTTATTGGACACTGACTTCTTGAGAGAACTATGCCTGGTGTAGGGTGTGAGGGATGATTCTAAAATTCTTTATTTGCTTTGTCTAACAAGAAGTTATAAAATTACATAAAAAAGTGAAGGTATATTCATGGATAGTGAGATAGGTGCTGCGGAGGATGCTGGTATTAGTCAGTTTTCCATTACTGTGACAAAAGACCTGAAATAATCAAACTGAGAAGAAGAAATCTTTTTCTGGCTCACAGGTTCAGAGGTTTAGTCCATGGTCACTTGGCCCCCATTTCTTTGGGACTGTCGCAGCACACTGCATAATGTCAAGGAGTGTGTGGTGGCACAAGGCTATTTACCTCATGGTGGCTGGGAAGCAAAGAGAGAAAGGAGAGCCCTGAGGTTGCAATATCTCCTTTCAAGGGCACATCCCAAATGGACTAACTTCTTCCTACTAAGCCCCATCTCTCAAAGGTTCTACCACTTCCCAAAAGTGCCAAGCTGGGGACAAAGACTTTAACATATGGGCCTTGGTATAACATTCCAGATGCAAAGTATAGTCAGTGCTCATGGCAACACAAAGCATGGGAGCAGGAATTTAGGGGTTCTTTTAGTGCAGGGGGCAATGGCATTGTGATACAGAGGGAGTTATTGAACACTATCCTCTCCATTTTGGGAACCTCACACACAATGAGTGATTTCAGAAGATGAGGCTCATTCAAAGAGCTCCTTCCCAGGGTGAAACACTGTGTTAGTCTTGGCTTCATTTCTGCTTCCTGGTAGCATCACATACAGGTCCCTCTTTCCATTTGGTTTTCTAACTCTTCCATTGCTTTCCATATTTTCTGGAAGCATTTAATGCAGATTCTGTTGTGTTACTGTCCAGGTCTTTTTCTTCTTGCCATGATCATTTCCTTCCTTCCTATGTCTCCTGGACTTACCAAGGTACTCCCTGCTGAAGTGTCTGAGACGCTTCTATGAAAGTGGCCACTTCCTTCTCCCATCAGTTTGGAAATGGATTCAGGTTAACTGATTTGAAAGCATATCATGCTTTTTGATGGGGATTTATCATTACCTTGATGGCCTTCAAGAGGAGGTCTTACTCTAGCCTCTTGTATTAAACATTCATAGCAGAAAGACCAAAGTTGTGAGCCTTATCCCTGGAAAGACTGCAGCTATCATGGCACCTGTGTGCACCCCTGAGATCAGCAAAAGGAATTGTTCACCACAAAAAGCTCCTACTATAAAAAAATACAGGTGTAACAATCACTACAGTTTGTAAAACAGCCACAGTACATCCTTGATTAGTAGTGGTTTTGCCTTGTCTTGTTTTTATTAGTAGTAAGAATAATTACTCAAACATAGAACTTTGCATTCTTATTTTGACAATAATTTAATACAATACAGTTTATAACCAAAAGTGATAGTTATTTTCTTTTCGATTGTTATTTCCACTGCTGTTTGTATTGCAAATAACATCCAAATTGCTTTTCTTGGCACATAATGACTCTTAGATGCAAATTCTCTTTTCAGTTTCATTTCTTTAAATTCCACTTGCAATGTTATTCATTATTCCTTTAAACATTGTATGTTTTCAGGGTTTCCTGGCTTGGCATATGCTTTCCCTACCTAAAAGGCCCTTTTACCATTTTAAAACCAAGGATGAGGTGGTGGAGGGGTAGCAGTGCTGTTCTTAGAGTCCCCTTCCTGGCAGCATTATCTGTCTAATTTCAGCATTCTCTGCAGATTTGTCCTCACCCTTGTATTTCACTCTTAAAAGTTCTCTCTTTCATGTGTTATCCACTTTCAAAAGGTTTTAATAACATTAACATATGATCTGAGAACTCCAAATCCACATCCTCTGCGATGCTGGGTTTTGAAGCCCGACTCTCCCAGGTCTTTAGCCAGGTTGATCATCTTTTGGATCTATTCTGCTCTTCTGTTCTGCCTTATTCTTTGACTTTTGGGGTTCCTGTACAGTGTCATTTTCTAGTGATCTTGTAGCAATGTGTTCTTTTCCTATCAGGTTGTATTGAACTGGCTCCATTATTTTATCGTACTTTTATGTTTATTAATGTGCCTATTCTTTGAATAAGGCCAGCATGGAAGAAAGCAGAAAGTTGAGTGAATTGCTGGGAATGTGGAATTGATAGATGCAGAGGTGGTGAGTGCTCTGGGATTTATGAGTTTGTCATTCACGTATTGGTACTTCCTCCTTATTTCAAGTCAGGCATTAAGAATAAAATGAATGCTTACAATCCCAGCAGCTCAGGAGGCTGAGGCAGGAGGATTGCAAGTTCAAAGCCAGCCTCAGCAACTTAGTGAGGCCCTGTCTCAAAATAAAATATAAAGAGGGCTAGGGATGTGGCTCAGTGATTAAGTGCCCCTGGGTTCCATCTCCAGTACACACACACACACACACACACACACACGAATAAAATGAATGGAATGACTGTTTTTTATTTTTAAGTATTGACAGTGACAGTGAAAAATTAGACTTTATTTAACAGTGTCCCTATATATCAATATTTGTAAGCCAGTTATTGTTATTCCAAAAAAATAAGGAATGTGTATTTTGAAAAATTTGAAGAGAATTTTGAGAGAAGAGGGTACATATAGACCCTCCTTCTTTCCAGTACTGGCCCCTACTCTGGGTAGACTTGGGTTTTGAAAATACATTAGTAGGAATATAACAACATGAGATGAGAGTAGAAGTAGTTCCCTTCATTGATGAAGAGAAATTTTGCAGCTAATAATGATCTTTAGTCTTTAGAGAATGCTGGTCTAGATTGTCCAAGCCTGTTCTGAAAAACATACAAAATAGTCAAATTAAGTTAGAAGAAGTACTAATTCTATTCAGCATGGTATCTATTTACAGACTATTTACTCTATGCAAGTTACCATGCTAAGGAAGATCCATAAGGCTTGATTTTTGCCCTCCAATTGCTAAGGAGCCTGTGCAGGAGAGGATAAATGTGGATTCACAGAGTCAGGCTGAACATGGGAACAGGCTTCTGATTCTCACTTTGTGTCACAGTGTAGATAGAAGACATATCTTGCTCTAGGAATAAAAAAGATTAATTATTCTGAGCTATAATCATATAACCTTAAGGTTTTTATTTGATATTAAGTAGAAAAGTACTAATACTTACCCTAAAATCATATGAGACAAAACAGCCTATCATATTTTTGGGTGTAATAAGCCATATTTTAATGCTATTTTAATCTTTCTAATTTCTATCACATTTATTGCACAATTCCAAATGATGCATTTTTAATTGCCTCCCAGATTAAACTTGTTAGCAAACTATTAGATCTTAAAAGAGTGTAACTAAGGATTTTGCTGAAAGTAAATGTTGAAAAAATATATCAATACATATTTAATAAATTACAGTGGAACAGGCAAAGTTGGATATATGATGGCAACTAAATTAATTTAAATGCATAATCATTTTTAGCAATTTTTGAATATCACTAATTACTACCAGAATTTGCAGTCTGTAATAATCTCTAGATCTCAGAGTTAAACAATAGGTCCAATTATTGAGAAAACAGGTGATCTTTGGCTAGTGAATTAGTTGCCTTACAAGTACTTAAAACTTACTGAGTCCCAGATTGCTTTCTTGAACTGACTCACACCTAGCCCTAAAACACTCTTCCTCTGGTATTCATTATGTCTGTTAATGATTCTATCATTCATCAGGAACTTATGCTATAAGATTGGGAATCACCCTTGACAAATCTCTGTATCTGCACATAATTGTATGTCCAAATTATTCCCTAAATCATTTCACTTCTCTCTAGCTTACCGCACTTCTAGACTCTCCTGGATTATTGCAATTGCTTTCCAATTTTAGTTTCCCTGTCTCTACCCATTAGTATATTATATTTATGTTACATTGCAGCTAAAGGTATTTTTAAAAATGCACATCTGATGTAACTGATTATGTGTTTACAATCTTTCACCTCCATTGTTCCTAAGACAGCATCCACACTTCTCAGAAGGACTCAGAAGATGCTGAAAGACCATGCCCCTGCATACTTTTCTAGTCTCACCTCCTGCCATCCCCACATCTTGCTCCCTCCCCACCATGGCTTCTTTTGATGCCTCTGCCAAGCACACTCCTCACTCATAGAGTCTTAACATCCAGTTTATCTGCTTAGACTGCTGCT